CTACCAGACTGTTCGCGGTTCCAGTCCTGAAAGGGGCACAATAGCACGCACAGCTGACGTGTCCCAAACAGGACGAACGAGGTGTCCAGTGGTCATTGTTCGTTAGCACAAACATTTCCACCGCATTTAACGGAATGACGTGTCTTTACACTATGTGTATGGGGTATTGGGTATACAATATGTGAGTTTATTAACCGTATACGTTCAATTAACTGATCTTCATCACTGTCACAAATGCTTTGTGTGCACCCCATCGATGATCACCCTAGTGCTTTGGTTGTATTTAAGGTTTTTTGTAGACTCCAATTTAGTGAATTTTTGATTAATTGGTTTATTGATCACTAGTTATTTTGATAGCAAAGTTTGTCTTCTCATCTGTTTATGTTTATTTATCGAGGATATTATTTTTAATTTGCTTACCTTTACGATTGATGCCAAAGCATCTTGCTTATGTGATCCAGATTACCCTGTTCAAACTGAAACATCTCGTATATGTCTATACACCTTTAGCTCGTAAGACTGTTTATTTTTATTTTATTTTATTTTTTTCACTCGGAATGCATTGTGATTACGCTATGGTCATTAATCTATCTTCGCAGAGACTGATTTCATTTAAGGGGAACGTCAATCACTATTCAAACATTTGTCACTATGCGCGTCGCAAGAGAAAGCCAGATTTTTGCGAGTTGTTCAATCACTGATTGACCATTCAGTAGAGCAAAGCATTTTGCACAACCCGTGGCCAAAGTTGAGGGGCTAAAAAGGAGCTAAGAAGTACCTCCCGGATTATAAACAACTAACGAATAATGTTTGCATACATTTGGTCGTTTATGTCACACTGAAAGCAGTTGGTGAAATGCGCTGACAAATATCACAAAGAAATGAGTTTCAATCGAGTCACATGTATGATTCCCCGAGTGCAAAGTTTCAGGGTGTACAGTAGTGAGATTAGTTACATATGAAGCACATGCCCGGATTCTCACAAACAAGGCCCTTATTGTATGTTGCACACTCTGGTATATGATGCTCGTGCTCTGTTTGGTTTTTAAACAGCATTGAACCGATTAACAGGGCGAAAAATCGCAAACTTGATTTTTGGCTTTTCCGTCTTCTTGATTTCCCGAGGATGATCCCTAAAGTGTTAAAACTTATTTATGTATGTCTTATCACTTTCTGCAAACAATTTGTGAGCGTCGATGTTTCTGTTCTTCATTTTTCGCAAAAGTATATCACAATAATACTATAGACCAAAACATCGCTTGATTATGATTTACTCAACTGCGACACAGATACCCGAATGCACAGAATGTTGCATATTGCTGTCCGTCACAAATTTTCAGACCGGTGAGTTCATGGCTGCCCCGGGTTTCGCTGAATGTGGCAAAAATCATTTATCAACTGTTTGGTTCAGCTCAACTCATCTTTCTATTTTTTTGCAACACTTTTGCAGATAATGCAACGAAACGAAAGCTCTCAGAGTCTGGAGAGCGAGTCCGGGATGGAAAGCGACTTGGCATTACCAGCCAAGGACATCATCGATCCTCCGGTCACAGTTGGTCCACCGGTGGAATTTTCCGTTCGAGATCCAGAACAGGTAGAGGCTATACTGCGACGCGGACGAAGAAGAGCCATAATTGATGAGAAGGTGAGCGATTTTAAACGTTGAGTAGGAAGTCCTCAAAAAAGAGTGACTTTAGTTGCTTGTTTATTTTCTTTCAATAATCAGCTCTCCGTTAAAAGAAATGAAAAAATAAAGACGAACCAAATAGCCTGAACAGCAAAACAATGAAGACGGGTATTCCCATCGGGATAATGTACATTTGTATCATGCACTTAACAGATTAAAACACAATCACCGTTCCATTCGAGGTCATGTCAATAAAAGAATCCGTACGAATGCAACTGATTGGCGGATAGTTTTCATTCGGCAAGTCTGTTTGTGGGCGAACTGAGCGTTAATCTATCTAGGTCATTCTTCCAGAAGGTCACTTGAAACAACCAGGCCAACTTCCTATTTGTTCTTTCTAACAAGCGCTACGGTCATTTCCGTAGCGTGGCAAAGCAAGAGAACTAAAATTAATCAACTTGATGATGATGATCATGATGGTGAAACGTCATTTTTCGAGCAGATATGGGATCAGTCCCGGAGACCACAGGCGCAGTTAAACACGGCAAAGTTGAAAGCAGATGAGTTGAAGCGCAACAGAAATATAATGTACCATTTTTATCTTGTGTTTCTTGTCGAACGATTCCAGAATGTGCTTTTTTCTCACCCTTTCGTTTCATCAGAATCTGATTGGCGATTCGGAGAACGAAAGTCAAGATGGACAATTGGGATCGACCTCAGCAGTCAAGTATGTACCTTTGCATTTCCCATAGATGCTGCTTTTAATTGCTTATCTGAAATAATAATCACTTTGGACGGAATAAGTTTCAGACGAGTTTTATGTTTTATTTGAAATCCTTCACCCAGAATATACAAGTCGTTCAGCTAAGTTCCATCCGTGTTTACCAGCAAATATATTTGTTTTTCATATTATATGCGTTACATAGTGAAACATATAATTTATTCAATACTTGTACTCATTTTGGTGAAACGTCATTTACGTGGAATCCGTGCTTAGTTGAACCACGCATTAAACCGTTGTCGAATGGTTTAATAATCATTTTTCTACCCGAGCTGAGAAAAAGGGACTGATAGAGAAATCTCAATTATCTCTGGCTACATGTGAACTACTCCGCGAAGACAGATTCAAGTGTAATCTCATATTGTTTCCCATAGTTTGTCTTTCTACACGTAGTTATTACAAGTGGTGTTCCTTCCACGGCAAGCCACTAGCACGTGACTGATGCCAGTTATTCGACCTTGTACACTAACATACTTCACCACTGCTGTCCCTCTACGCAACCGCAAATGTTGTGAGACCCGCGAAATAACTGCAGCTGTCTACCGGATGCTCTGAAGTGAATTATTCGCGCCGCCTCGCCTCACCCCGCCCCCATCCTCACTGTGTAATTAATTTTCACCTAGTGAATTACGACCGAAATAAGACGGAGAGCTATACCATGTAACCTTTAGATGACATCGCATTGCCAATAATCAAGCAATTTGGATTGCCTTCAGCGTCACTTTGCTCTATCTTCATTGTACCACACCTGTCATCAATAGTAGTGAAAACTGGAACATACTTTCAGTGCAAAACGTAGCACTGGATCCCGTTCAAGACCGGGTTCTGGTATGGTTGATGAGGGAGGCTGCTGTGGAGCTCATGAACAACTTGTGTGGGGTCTGAGCTCATACCGAACCAAGACAACTACCTTTTAATGTCACAAGAATCGAGCGAGCTCTGTTCTTTTTGAGTGCAGCATGGAATTTTTGTCTCCAGACTTCGCCGATAATTCCAGTGAACAAATAAACGTAAGCTTTCGGTAAGCACATAATCGCCTGCGTGATTTTCACCGACCTACAAACCTCATTCAGTATTGTTCCCAACCACGGAGATAGTTTGAACATTTATGCTGTAACGTGTCGTTTACGGTGACACTATCCACCGAGTTTACCAGTGAGAAATCGCTCAATCCGAAGTGACATATTTGAGAGTGTGTGCGATTCGGCGGCAAGGTAGATCTATGATTTAAAATCCACCAACCCCCCTCGTGTTTGTTTAGCAGAGGTGTCGAAGTAGCCACGTTGGACTGCGGTCTTTTCCAAACAATCCATACGTCTATCCTGTACCGTTTAACGGGTGAATTTCTGAAAAGACATGTTCTGACAATTCCAGTCGGTTCCTATTTTGCCTGAGAACACTTTTTCTTCCGTACTGAAAACATGCTTTACATCATTTTTGTTTGAAAGTGAATATGACACTATGTGTGTGAATGTGTGTGTGTGTGTAAAATATTCGCACCACGAGAATCAATTTTTAATTGCTTTTTTGCAAGTAGTTACTCGTGCGGTTAAACTTAGGACATCGAACAGACAAAGAACTCCTACTCCGTACGGATCAAGGCAAACCTTGGTAGTAGACCGTTGATAAAATCTACCACATTTCCACCCAGTGGATTTGTATGCGAATCCCTACACCATCGCCTGGTGTTACCAACTACGGTGCATGTGGTATGTGTATGTGGTATGTGGTATGTCGTATGCTGGGCCGCTTTTTCCTTCGTGAAAATTACCCGGTTGTGTATTCAATTAAAGGATGTAAAAATAAAAGCACTGATATGAAATGTTAGTCCATAAATATTGAGAAAAACAATTATTAGAAATTGAAGTCGATGCTATATTAAAAATACACTCAGTGTAAGAGTATTTGCTTGCGGATAGTGACAGTATTAGGATTAATCAAGGGCCGAGAGAAGCGTAGAATTACGCGGTTTCGATCTGTGTCAGTGCGCGAAAGTAAGAGCGAGTTGGAGAATTTTAAACGGTTACTGAGATACATCCAGTTCCTTTAATTACTTCATCATCCAGTCACTAAACTCACACACGTGTCAAAATTCTTGAAAATTAGACAACTCTGTCAAATTTACTCTATTGCGATAGACGTTTACGAGATCCGACAGACAAGGTAATTGTTTTCTCCCACAAACCAGGGAGCAGGATAATTAGGAATTGAAAAACAAGATTATGTGGAATGTCTTGAACCCGTTCGTCTATGTTCGTTTATGTGACGGTTATTCATGACAGTCACACATTTAACAAACCAATAACAATAATGCCGGCGAGATTGTTTGCGTGTGATTGTAAACGGGAGCAGATTTTGAGAATTACTGGAACACTAATGCACTCAGACGGATGTTAGGTACGAAATTGGGCATAGTCCAGTCATGAAGTTCATTAAGGTCGTCCCGGTAAGAGGAAATTTCTCTGGAATAAGCACATAATTGGAATATCATCAGCATAATTGTTGCAATAAAGTTACACGGGAATGGGCAGGTTATTCTAATGCATATAGAAAACCATTAACAGACGGAACAGCATCAAGAAACATATCAGATTCGATGTTTATAGAGGACAATTTGGCTACAAAATGGAACAAACCAGGAGAACTTGTAGCCCATTAAGAAATTCAAATTTTGAGGTGTGGAGCACGCTCAATTTTCAGTTGAGAGCACCAAAGGCGTTCATGTGAGCAAGATAATTAAAACGGGCAGTATCTGCACCGTTGTTTTCGACGGATACAACGAAGCGAAAAATATGGTCACGGCGTCTAGCATGGACAGACGGTATGTGTGACCGAGCTGGATTATGAAAGTTACATTGGGTTATCGTGCCGTGCAGAGTAATATTTGCAAAGGTTTTCAGCAACACAGATAAGTAGGCAGTGTGACAGAACTTCGACGATCCTTTCTTTAGGATTTGTCTAATCCGAGTGAACCCCTAACAATCCTCCATCGTTCAGGCTGACAAACATGTACTTTCAAAATGTGGCAATCAATCACGGACCATAAAATTACATCAGATTAAGTCCCTTTTTTGGCAAAACTGCTTTTCTTCGGGCACGGATTCATAAATGATGTGCAAAGCAGCCTGAGGCAGATAGAAGAAACACTGATGACAGAATTTTATTTAAGCTAGGTTTTCGTTACCGGGCGTAGTTACTGTGCACTGGATGAAAAGAGATTAGAATTTTAGAATACGTGTGCTCAACTTAATAAACACTCTCATTGAGTAAAAAGAATTAACTGTCAGGTTGCTTTGCCTAAAATATTTTGCAACTCAGACCTGTAACTTTCGAACTACTACAAATGTTATCACAACACTCTAGGTCACCCTGATTCAAACAGTGATATAAAAGAACTAAGAACATAGATACTGGAGATAAAGTCAGGAATAAATACACTTTACACATAGCCATCTACATGTATATAAGTAGGATATTGCGAGCTGAAATTAATTTCCAAAATGAGGATGACGTTGCTGGTCAACACCTATCTATATACTTGTTAAATTTGTTAGAAGAATGAAATACCTACACCGCCTAACGGGTTCGAAGGTAGGTGATTATTGAGCGCATTGTTCTTTGTATCCTGTATACCCCAAAATGAACAGTGGTGTACTGTGTATTAGAGGAAACTTCCAAATTCTGTTTGGCAGTAAAATTGGTGGATTTCATGATAAAGCTACTGCCTCCAGTGCTAAAAAATTAAGAAGAGTAAGTGGAACATGGAAGAGATGAAAGTACAATACCTGTAAAATGTCTGTGAGTCATTTCTACTGTGACTTTGTTATCTTACAAATGATGCACCAGCAGCCGTCGTCAAAATCGCGAAATTGTCCATTTTACTGGCATATGGCTAACAGAAGCAGTGAAATAAGTGGGTATTATGTCAGATATGTTGCGTCTGATGTGGAGTCATATAATATTCAATACCGTGAATGAGGCCGGAAAGACAAAGCATTGAGAGGAACAAATGTGATGAAAATCAGGATGTTGCACGAGTTTGGTCAATACCTGTATGAATGCTGTGAAAGCCGGGTTTGCATCGAACGGAGTTGCAATGAGGTTTTGCCGATTGAGAAATTAAATATAAACGATGATATTCACTGCTATTTGTTAACTCCTAATACTGATTCCTCTTACCGATCAAGCAGAAGAGCAGAATCAGACTTCGGGAGGAAAAAAACCCTATAGATTTCATATTGGGGGAGCTGTATGGTAGCATTTGACCTTGGGAAATCGATTCAGTCATCAAACAGTGCAGCATCCCGAATTTGCACTGCACATTTTTTTTAATTAGCGAAACTTGGCAAAGGCACGGCCAAAAATCAAAGGCACCGCATCTGTTTCCGCTTCTCCGCTGACATGAATAATGAACGAAACTGGTTAAATAACGTTACAAATAATTCAAAGAAGCATAAGGCTCATCAACCGAAGACGTTTGTGGATAAATTGTCAAATGAATAAGGATAAACAAGAAACTAGAGTATCAAGCTTGGATTAGCCCATTCGATTGTTCAGAGACACCAAGCACTCTTGATGGTCTTCGTTGTTTTTATTTATTTAAATGCATCATCAAGAGTGCCTGGTGCATCCGAACAATCGAATGGGTTAATTCAAGCTTCATACTATAAAATTTATTTAGCCATTCGTACAAGGTGATAACCGTCAACCGTGTAGGTCAGGGGTAAGGGTTTGAAGTCCCGACCCGACTGATCGCGGTTCAAGTTCTGACAGGGACACAAAAAGTACGCACACTGCTGACGAAACGACGAAACAACTGTCCAGTGCTCCTCGTGGATTATCAAAAATATTGCCATGGCAAATAAATCTGGTCTGTACTCAAACTGTATGCTTAGGCTTGGTAAAATTGCCCAGTGGACACATTCGTACAAACCTCTCGGCTCATATTGCCCCGTAGTAGATAAATCGGATTGATTCTGATTAGTGGCTCATTTGTGCTCACTTTTTATTCTCGTTCTTGTCGTGTTCTGACCAGACCAGCGGACAATAATACATCTTCCGATTCGTCTTCGGTTGTGTCCCGAGTCAACGTGTTCCGTGAACGCCAACAGCGAATGCTCCGCAAACAGCACACGATTGCCGATCTGAATAGCAGAATTCAAAATGTGGTCAGTCCGCAAGAATTCGGTAAGTGTCAATCGCTTTTGAGTTCCGGCAACACGTAGAACTATCCCGATTGTAAGAGGCGTCGTGTTCAGAATGCGATAACTTGCTAAGGGTTGCCATGTTTTGTGAGTTCTCATCGATTATCGATTACGCCGTCACAACTGAGAAGATGACCACACACACACGCAGAGAGAGAGAGCTTCCCTTCCGATCACTAACCCGTTTTTTATTTGGTATGTCACATTTTGGTGCATCTCGCGATCGATTTCTTTCTCACCGCGCTCCCGAGCACTCTATCGATACTGTCAGTTTGAAGTAGTTGTTCTACGTGTGTGTGTGGGGGGGGGGCAAACTGAAACAGATCGTTTGTGATTGCTTACAAACATCTTTGACGGCTGCCACTAGATAGCTTTGGTAAGTAAATAGGGGAACATAGAAACAGACATCAGTTATTTTGAGCTTTGGCCTTATTTATCTTCGTTCTCTCTTCGTTCCAGACTCAAAACGTCGTCAGAATGTGTTTATGAAACTGGTAAGTTTTTTTTTCTTAGCATTCGTTGCACACAAAAAAACGGCAGAAAACGTGGTCACCTTTTCTCTCCAATAACACGAATCTATTATAATGGTCTATCGACTAGCCCGACCATCGAAACGTCCGATGTAAATACTATAAGGGGGAACTAATCAAAGACTCTTTGTTTTGTTTACTTCAACCAGATGTCAGTGAAAGTGCTCTATTTTAAAGCCATTTGGAAACCAAAGGCATGTTTCTCCAATAACAATTGAGAAGGACCACCAGGTGAAGTTGTAAACAGTTCTTTCCACATGGCATAGAATAAGTGCTGGACACATCCCAAAGCAGATATAATGAGGCCAAATTACCCAGCAGG